ATTTTAACTTGTATGTCGATATGTGGGAAAAATCTGGGTAAGAAAATTGAAAACAGACTTTCTCCATATACATTTATAGAGGCATATAGTACCTGTATCTTATTGATGTCTAGCTGTCTTGCTTCTATTATGGTCACTTCTTGTGGTTATTGTAATTTCTCTGCATGATTTAGTCGTCTGATACAATTTAGAAGCAGTTATTTGCCATCACATGAAACTTGAGAAGTATTGTGTGGTGCTTAAAGATTCCAGTGATGCTGGTTATTCCATGGAACTACCAGCGTTGCCCTTAATTGGGCAGGAAGTCTGATTTTGTGGAAATGATTGGGTATGATAGGATGTAAGATATTAACCATCTCGGAAGCTGTTTGGAAGATATACTGTCTCAAGTCCGAGTCCAACCTCATTCTGTTTTAAATTGCTGCCAAATATAATTCTACTGACACATTGCTGATCAGTTATTCTCTTTGTTGAACCTTCAGTTTTCTACAGTGAAAGATAGGCCCAGATTTTTGGCCTATCTTTGTCTTGTGTTGATGATCAACACTGAATCATTAATATGATGTCAAGTAACCATATGTGCGTCATCATTGGGATTCTCAAAATTCAATTCATGCTAATTGTCGAATTTTGTAATAGAAGAGGATTGTGGAGAAGCAATTGTGGAGAAACTCCAAAGTCCATGCAAATGTCGAAAGAGAAAATGTAAACATAAAACTGATTCAGGTGATTTGGAAGATATTCCTGCCCTTCGTTCTTTTCGTGCTAGACTATCAAGGAGGGGCTGCAATACAACCTCCAACCTACGAGGGAAAATAAATGGTGAATTATTCCAGCGCTGCTTTCTGTAAGTGCTATGCATTAATCTTTTAATTTAAAGAACTTCCCGGTATTTTGATGGTCTATATTATATGAATGAAATTTGGAGTATGTAGGAAAATATGGGAGGATTCTCCTGAAGAGAAAAGGAACTTGTGTACATATATGGAATGCATATGGTTTTCCATGTACACAACTGAGCATGGTAGAAAAACAGTGCTGACATGGATTAAGAAAATCAACATATTCTCAAAAGAATATGTTTTAGTTCCCATTGTTATATGGTACTTGTTCTTCCAAGTATTTTTTCATGCAAAGTTTATCCTTTTTACCTTGCAATTGCTGATTGAGATGCCTTTTCTTAGGTCTCACTGGTATCTCGTTATCTTTTGTCACTTGGGCGAAACTTTAGAGTCAAAAACTAGAACTCCATGCATTTTATTGCTGAATTCACTGCGTGAATTGGGATGGGGGCTTGAACCTCTAATAAGAAGGTACTTTTTAAATGGACAGTATAGTATAAAAGAAAATTTATTTCAATATATTTTTGCATGTTTATCATTTCCTTCCGCAGGCTTGTCGTAGACATATATGAAACAGAGGAGAGGCCGGTGGACAAAAATCTAATGAAAAAAATTCCTCTTTTGGTTCCTAAGGTAACGTTGTTCTTCATATCTATTCTTGATATGTTATTTGGACTAGACAATTTAACCGATTGAACAAGCAATTTTCAGGTTCCACAGCAGACAAATGGTGTGGAATGTGGCATTTTCGTTCTGCAATATGCAAGCCTATTCTTAAAGAATGCACCTGAAAATTTTAGCACTTCTGCTGGCTACCCTTACTTCGTGAGTTTCTTTTTAATCTTTTGCCATTATCCTCAACCAATGCATAGCAAGTTTGGCTATGCTTACAAGTTTATTTATAAGTAAATAGTTTTGATGGTAAGCCCTTGTTTGATGGCCATTATTTAGAAAAAGATGATGTTTTGAATAGTGATTTTTTGGAGAGAGAGTGGTTAAAAAGTATTCAAAAGTTTTGGGTTTACGTGCAAAATATTTTATCATGTGAATGTGTAGTTGAAAATAAGTATGAAAATTAAAGAGTTGTTTTAAACGGAGACAAACTCGTGCTAACTTACGTTGACAGGTCAGAGTTACTTTCACCTAAGTAACTTTTGCTCAAAAATAATAAAAATATTAACTTACCTAAATTTGCAAAGGGCAAAAAGCTTTACTCATTTAACTTTTCCAAACACGCTCTTTTAGTATCTTCCGTAATAATGGGATGTCTTTTGTTTTGGATGCTTCATTTTAGATGAAAGAAGACTGGTTCGGTAGGGAAGAATTAGAGGACTTATATAAAAGACTGGAGACAGTTGAGGCCGAATTTATCAATGCTGATGAATGATCTTCCAATCTTCTGCAGACATTTACAATCGTATCCTAGTTGATCATATCTTCAAGATTGTAAACTGGATAAACAGTCAGTGTAGTTTGAATCGGACTTGGATCGTGACTGATAAACCTTTTGTGTGTATTGGGATCAACTTTGGATCATGTATGTTTTTTGTGTTTATTTTTTCTGAGAATTAAACTGGAAATGTTGAGTTTTCGTCTTGTTTATTTAGTACTTTATTCATGATTCTCGTTTCTGTTGCTGGATGTTTTCTATCAACCACCAAGCAGATGGTAGAGAACATAACAGCATAACTTGATCTGAATTTGATAATTGTGATGCCGTATTACTTTATTCTTCTTTCATTCTCACCATTGCCTTTTGGTATTGGATAGTATTTTGAAAGCCATTTCTTGCGTGCTAGTCTGTTTGGGGCAAAGCTTTTTCAAACTTATAAGCTGATCAAGCATCATTTTTATCAACACATTTTATAGGACTTGTAACTTTTAACAAGTTTTTATCCACATTTTGTAAGTCCCACGGTTTACAATCTACAAAAAGCTCTACCAAACGTACACATCCAAGTTCATAATAATCAGTTTTCTTTTAGTCGGTTAGAGTCAAATCATCACAATTAAATTATGTGATAAAATTGGGTGCCCTCTTGAAATTTTGACGAACATCATAAAAAAGTATTACTCTTTCGACATAAGAAAAAGAAAATTTCTACATCCCTTGGTCCAAAGCCTAGTGAGGCAAATAATCCTTCATAGAATATTTGAGCGTCTCCTTTTTAATATTTGTCATTTGTCTGATCTTATAGCATCATAATGTTTTGTTATGATATGTTCACGCTTAAAAGACTATGCTATGATACAAGTAGAATATACCATGTATAATCAACGAAAATCAAATGTATCATATGTTCACGCTGAAAAGAGAGAGAACCACAATAACCTAAACATAACATGAGTATAACCGCGGGCTCTCTTGCTTTTCTGTCAGCAAGTACTCGAATAATCATTTTGGTGGTTTGTGAGCAGCAAACCAAGTACTCTACAGAGTGTGCCAAGCTAGCATGTTTGGCTAAGCTTAAATTTTTTTTTTTTTTTTTTTATTGATCAACATCGAAAATAAGTTAATTAATAGTAAAGTAAGAGTTAATATTCAAAAAGTAAAGGGTTGTTCTCTTTGTATTTCCGTTTTGTATTTTGAATTTTGTGCTTTGAGTGTCCATTTGGAAATTGTTGAAAATGTATTCTTTTTGGCATTTTGAAAAATTGTTTTCAAAAATAAAAAATTGGAAAACCTTTCTTCCCGTCTCTCTCGTCTCCCTCTCTGTTGCTCTCTCGTCTCTCTCTCTCTCTCTTCTTCCACTCCTCTCTGTCGACGAGTAGCGACGGTGGCTGCGATCGGTGCGTGGTGTGCGACGGTGGTTGGTTGTGGCTGCAATCGTCAACGACTTCGTCTCTCACTTTTTTTTTTTTTTTACTGTGGCGGTGGTTGGTTGTGGCTGTGGTGGTGGTGTGTGGTGTGCGACGATGGTGTGGTGCAAGTTGAGGCTGTGGCGGTGGTGGATGGTGGCTGTGCTAATGGTTTTTGTGGTGGTGTCTGTGGTGGCGAATCTGATGGTTGTGTGGTGGTGGTGGTTGGGGTGATGTTGTGTCCACGACAGTGGCGGTGGTTTTTGTAGTGGTGTGGTGTAGGCGGCGATATGGTGGTTGCGGCGGCGACGGCGGTGGTGCAGGCGACGGCGGTGGTGGTTGGGGTGACGTTAAATTGAAAACACCCAAAATGCGTTTCGAAAATTTTGGCTTGATTATAACTAAAAACACCCGAATGGGTTTTCTTTGTAAATTTTTAACTTGTTTTCAAAAAAGCGTTTTCGAAAATAAGAGAGAGAACGCATTTTCACTGATTTGAAAAATTGAAAACGGAAAACGGTAAAGAGAACATGCCATAACTTTTTCTGAACTTGCTCTTTTAATTTACTTGAAAGTACTCTAAAAAAAAACAGATAGGAGCATGAAGATGGTCTAATGTAAAAAGGAAAACATAATTTCCATTCGGAATCGCAGATATCAAGAATTACACGTATCCCATTCAAATGTTGGTTGTGAAAAAGTCTCATAATCTAGAGGTCCATCAACAACACTATCAACATTCTGTATACCTTGCAATAAAGCAGGCTGAAGACCGTCGTGCTCCGAGGGCAAAAGTTTGTACATTACTAGCAACCCAAGTGTGAATATGGCTTGAAGCTTTGTGGAGTCTCCATTTACCGAAAAGAACAGCAACATAGAAACAAGGAACATGTCCACGCAGAAACGCACGATACTCAGCACGGTATCCATTAATCTCCCATCGTTGCCAGCAGGAAAACCTCGTACTCTATACACAAATAGGAAGTTGTATTTATCCACGACGTATCTATACCCAAAATAAGCTGCACCAACTGGAACCACGAGAGGCGCAAATGAAGAATATACAAGTGTAAGGGCGAATATGGTGAGATTGAATGCATAATATTGTGCAAAATCAAATGTCTGCTTTGGTACTGGCGAAGTTCTGCTGAATGGAGGATAATCAGACAGATCCTGTCCAGAAAAATCTACTGCAGTCGGAGAACCATTTGAAAATGCACCATTCCTGACCAAGATTTCAGATGCCCTTTCGGATAACAGAGGTCTCTGCAAGGTCTCTTCGTCGTGATTTTGTAACTGATAATCTTCACTTCGTTCTGGTACCAGCTGCAGCATATCATTCTTCCGAAATTTCTGAAGTTTCTTTTTTATCCAAGGTATTGGAGCCAGTAGGTCAAAAGATATTCCCAAGAAAGTGCTTGTAATCAGAAATGCAAGAGACGAGAGGCATGATCTTGACAAAAAAGACGAGCTCATATATTGCTCGATTCGTCTGCAATCTTCACCATCCAAATAACATCTGCTCATCTTTAAAATAGCACTCTCCAGTGATGACTCGACAAGAGCTCGCAAGAGAATGAGGTTAACTAGAAAAAAGCAAACCATCTTCAACAATGCAGCCCTCTGCTCACTCGACACAGTAAGATGCCGTTCAAATTTTGAAAGATAAGAAAGAGCTGATGGTATCACTATGTACATGCTGATGAAAATCATAACATTCGGAAGAAACTGAAATATTATGGTCGCAAACCAGCTTGAACTCTGCAACCAAGTCAACCACATCTGAGCATGATCTATAGCTTCTGCATTGATAATCCGCACAGCACTTGTTATGGCACTAATCACGGCCAGAGGAGAACTGAAGAACAAAAGCATCAACAGCAGGCACGTGTTTACAAAAACTCTCCGCAGTTTCAGTGAGAATTTCGAGGATCCTAAATGGTTCCAATATATGTCACTTGCCAACGGAGCTCTCTCTACTTTCCATTGGTTTCTCTGTAGTTGCAACTCAATCAACGAGAAGAACCTCCCAATCCGCCTCCTTTTCTCATTGCGAAAATCCTGAACCGCCTTATTAGTAGTGTAAACATCCTTAAACACGACAAATGCAACCCCAGCACCCCTTGCTCGCCCTTCTTTATAAGCTGCCATTTCCATCTCAAGATCAGCTCTCAACTCTTGCAACTTCCTCAGCTTCTCCTCATCCGAGAAACCCAGTTCATCAACCACTCGATACCACAAATCCTTCAACCTCCTCCAAAGAAAATGCAGCTTCTCCCACACCCCACTTTCTTCAGGTCCATCATCAACAAACTCGCCCTCACCCACCAGCCCCCGTGACTCAATGTTTGCCACCAACTTGGATATATTCTCCCTGGCCTTCACCAATTCCGTTGCCAAATCATCCAATGCACACAAATCCATGGGCACAATCACTCTATAAATCTTACCAGGATACTTGTGTTGAAAATACTCCACCAACGGGGTACTATCAAACCCCAAAGTTTTCGGAATCCCATGAACCATTATAGTAAAAATGGCACTTGAATTCGAGCTGGGCTCGCTTGGATTCCCATGCCCATCACGAAACCTGGTAATTCTCAACCTACTTTCAATAGCATTTATACCGTAATGTACCAAAAGAACAACTACAACAACGAAAATAAAGTGGACCCAGAGCAAAGGCGAACCTTTATCAATATGATTTATAGTGGTCTTCGAGAATTGGTCAGAAATTGGGGCTTTCCCTGCGTAGATATTGAGGGGGAGCATAACTGCAACTGCGAGTGTGGCAAGGAGGAGGAGGATGGCGGAGCTGCCGCCCTCGATTAGCAGGAACTGGGCGGCGTCAGCGCCACAGTGGTGCGCAATCTCGCGGCTGGTAGCGTGCCACACGGCAAGAAGCTTGGAGGCGATGGCTGTGGGGCCCGGCACGCGGCGGTGGTCGCTACGAAGCTTCACAAAAACAAAGATCAATAGACAAGTGAGAGCCCCGATGGCCGAGATGTTGAGCAGGTACTGGATGTTTCCATACCATGCGTCGTCTAAGTTTCCGTCGCTTCCGTCTCCGGAGGCCGACGGCGGCAGAGGGAGGGCGGCGTTTGCTGTTGACGGAGACGATAAAGGTGGGTCCATGGGGTTAAAATTAAAGAAAAGTTGTGGGTTTTTAATCATTAAATTCATGGTTACGATTCGTATGATGAGATTTAATTGGGATTAAACAAATTTGTCATTTGGATTCATTTGTAGACCAATGTGTTTAGAGAGAGAGAGAGGGAGACACGGCGTAGAGAGAGAGGACGAGGAGGAAGGGCACTGGAAATTCAATTAATCGAGTGTTTGACCCTCCTAAGATAAAAATGATAAAAGAATTAAGGTCCCGCTTGATTGCAAACTTTTTCATGAAAAATGTCAAATATGAGGAAAACGAATTTCACTTTGATCGTTTGATTGCAACGTGAAAATGAAAATCGAATTCCAAGATATAAGTATAACCACTTAAAACTACATTTTCTTTGTTTTCACAGAAAATGAATTTCTATGGATTTGATGGATTTTTATTTTCCAACAACATGGACTTGTAATTATTTTCCACCTTTGCCTATCAAACGAATCATAAGGGTTTGTTTGGTCAAAAGGAAGGGAAGCCCGAAAGTAAAAAACTTTTTTATTTAATTTTAAATTCTCACTTGGATCATCAAACTTTAATTTGTGTGGACGCGACTACTTTGTGCTCGTTTGGGAGAAATTTTAAGTTATTAAAATTATAAGTTGATAGAAATGAATAATAGATAAATGAGTGATAGTTGAAAGTTTTAACGAAATGCGTAGGTTCAGAACTAAAAAAAATTGATTTTTTTGACTTAACAACATCACATTAACGTTAAAAGTATAGCGATCTCACCTATCTTACGTTTTCAAGTAAATATGTTATACAATTATATCGTGACCATAAAATTTGAAATGAATTGTGTTCAAAAGTTTAGTACAATTTATTCGACGAAACAAGCTCACGTGTTTATTCGCCTTTATGCTGCATATTTGTTCAGAAAAGGACTTTGCGGGGAATTGATACGTGTAATAAGGACTAAGATTTGTTTGTGTACAAATTAAGGTTGAATACCAAAATGAAATTACCCAAACAAAATTTATTCACTTCAACACTATTGAGAGTTTAATTAGCTAGAAAGGGCAAAAAAGGAAAGAAACGGGTTTTTGGTTTTAATTTCTTGGGTGATAAGGGGGCACCAGGTAATTTGGTTTTCGCTATTTCAATACTCTGTTACCATACTCGATGAAGCCTTTTTTTTTAAAGCTTGTATAATGTTTTATTTTTCTTCGGGATAATGTACGCAGCTATGGTCGGTTTTTCCGAAGAGAAATTGAAGTCATTTACATACTTGACCCTTTATAGTTTAGCCTATATTTTGAGGAAGAATTATAAATTACTCTTGTTGAACAAGACCACGTTATGTAATAGGCCTCTCTGAGGAATATTACAGAGAGATGGTATTGAGGCACATCGAGGAGAAGGACATGTTCTCAAAAAACTATGTTTCGGTTCCTATTGTTATGTGGTATGTGCAGTGTTGTTATAAGTAATTTTTAGCATATCCTAAATTTTTTCCATTTATTATGTGTTCAAGGATGTTGTCATGTCCAAAACGGCTCGAACCTTTGCTACGAAGGTAACTGTTTCTTGTTACTCTGTTTATTGTAATGTTGTTTTTTTTCATTATTTTATAATTCCAGCAGTATTTCTAATTTACCTTTGTATTTTTCCTAACGTTATGTTCTTGCTTGCATGGGTTGAACAAACAATTTTCAAATTCCTCGGCAGAGAAATTGCAAGGAATGTGGTTTTTACGTTTGCTCCTGAAAATTTTACCACTTTTGATGGCTACCCATATATTTGTAAGTTTTCTTTTTTTGGTTCAACGAAATTTGTCCATTATCATCAAATGCAGAGGCAACGTGGAGCCTTGGTTCTGAATGGTGCCAGATGAAAAAAAAAATACTTGTTAACTATTGATGGAGTCGAGTCTTTCTACAAGACACTGGCTTCTTTTCAAGTCAATTCTAACAATCATGAGGATCACATATCCATGAATTCTAGCGGCTGATGGTGAATTACTGGTAATCCCAGGTGTATAGGAAAACATCAAGGGGGCGTTATAGACAGAATATAAAACGGAAACACATTTTGACGTTTCAGATGATGTTTTTGTTTGAGACGGTACGTTTTTCATACATAAACTTGCATATGTTAACAGCTAAATTCAATTGTTAAGATTGCTTTAGGTCTTTTGTTGGACTCGTTATGTACATGAAATAAGCAAGTGTTATAATACATATATTTTGTTTTGTACATTGTATTGCACAATTCAATCAATTTATATTTAAGTTTTTAGTCGAGCCAAAGGGTAAACATTCGTTCAGTTTTTGAGAATAACCGAGTGCAATATGCACAACTATAATTTTTTATATAGGTGAAATATACCAAAATCAAACTCGATTAAAATTTGTGCCCGAGAATATCAAATTTAACTGACGGGTTATGAATGAATAATCGCATTTTTTTTTATGAGCGTGTTTTAGGAAATCTTTATTACAGTATCTCGAATTATATTTTCTAAATAGGAATAATTATAAAAAATTATTGAACCTGAAGGCCACAAAAATGATAAAATTCTCGTCTCAATGCATGACGTTTACTTGTCTCACACTCGGTTCTAGGCCTTGGGCATTATGTGGGCCTCAAATTTTTGAAAGCCCAAAAAATTATTTATTTGTGAAAATTTCTTACAAATATATGTAGTAGTGCAGATAATGTAGGTGTTTCTCTCCTTACTCAATAATGTATTTTAATTCATGTTCTGATTATTGCTTTCGAAATTTTAATTTTTAAATATCTCCTATTCCTTGATGGTTTCCTAAAACCTTTATATTCTATTTCTTGAACATGAAAATTAATTCTCGAACGAGGGGGTGTCCTTAATCGAGATTTCTATGGATTTTAAAAGTCTTTCTAAATTTAGGTATTCCCAATTGAGTTTTTAATGGATTTCAATGAAATTCTTTCAAATTTAGGTGTTCCCAACTGATATTTTAATTAACTTCAATGAAGTCTTTTAAAATTTAAGTATCCTTAATAACTAGTGAATTTAAAAGAATTTCATTAATAAATGGATTTTAAAAGATCTGGATGGATTTCATGCATAAAAATACATGTACCAAAATATATCGAAATTTCACCATTATTAATGAGATTCTTATGGAATTTGTGAAAATCTATTCAAATCCACAAAATTCATTTAAATTTATAATATTTTAAAATTTATCAAAATTTTAGTTGATGACACTCCTGAAAATAAATTGTGTGTGCCATAGGTATAACGATCCTCATCACGAGAAATTGTTTCATTCGATCATGTTTGATGTTAATAAGCTTGTAAAAAAATTATGTGTAGGACCTCAGGATAATTTATCGCGTAGGATCTCAAAACTTTAAGAGTCATCATCAACTCGCCTCTTCAATCATTTTGATGGAAGATAAATGTTGCTTTCAAAATAAATAAATTTTACTTATGGCCCATTTAACATATCTTTTACTCTAATTTTTATGAGAAAATTACACTCACC